TTTTTTTTTTTTTTTTTTTTTTTTCAGGTAAATTATTTGTAAGGTGAAAGATTATAATAATATAATTAGGTGAGACAAAATAAAATTGAATATCGAAAATACATTTTGTAATTTATTTTGCCACAACAAATTGGAATTTATTAACGCAGATGGACAAGGCATCGATAATAAAAGACGCGATCGAGTACATCCAAGAGCTGCGAGCGGAAGAGAAGAGAATCGAAGCGGAGATCTCAGATCTGGAATCAGGCAAAATCAAGAACAGAGCAACAAACGAAGACTATGACGGAATCTTGAGGGAGAAGAGAACGAATAAGAATCGGCAAGTACCGGAGCCGCCGCCGTCTTTCCCGATCGAAGTTCTCGACGTAAGGAAATTGAAATTTCTAGGGCTTTTTTGTGTTTTTTAGTTTGAAATTGAGATTGTTGGAATTGTTTAAGCAGTTGAGGGTGAATTACATGGGAGAGAAGACGATGATGGTGAGCTTGACGTGCGAAAGAAGGAGCGACACCATAATGAAAATCTGCCAAGTTATTGAATCGCTTAAGATGAAGATTATTACGGCCACCATCACCATTGTTGCCAACAAGCTTTTGATCACGCTCTTCCTTGAGGTCAGTCCTCTGTTTTTGTTTTTTTATTTTCTAGAATCCCATCACCTGTAGAGCTCTGAGTTCTTTCTTTATTTTTTCCTCCCAAAACCTCTGCCCATTCTTTTATATTTCCCCATTATTATTATTATTATTATTATAGATAGCTAAGGTTGCAGCCCCATGATTTAGATCAGGGGATATGGAGTGAAGAGTGATGGGGCGCCATGGGGTATTTGCTCACGCTTTTGTTCTATCAGACCCTGTTATTGTCTTCCACTATCGTATCCTACCCTTTCATATGGTCAAAGAACAAATTCTTTGATCCAAGCCCTCCATCGTGGGTAGATGCGGTTGTCTTTCGACTTTCACATCACCTAGTATCTAGCTTAAGCCTAAAGAAAATAATATCGGATACTGGTAGTTCAGCCCCCCATTCCCCTGTCCATCCAACATTGGCACATCACCTAGTATCTAGCTTAAACTTAAAGAAAATAATATCGTCTAGTAGTAGATTTGAACTGTTACATTACCACTTGTAGAATAAACGTCAGCAATGTAGAACATATGAACCCTATCTCATGGGTATGTTATTGTGGTTTTTGGTGACAACAGGAGGAGATAGCGGAGGAAGAGGAAGTAAAGGTAAAAATAGAAGCAGCAATTGCAGCAATTAGTGACCCACAAAACCCTATATGATGAGCATTTGGTGAACCACATGGACATGTTTTGTGTGTCTCACAGCTTTGTCATCTAACTAATATCTAGTACAATTGTTTCTCCTTTCTCTCTCTTTCTCAATAGCTTTTTGGGGGAAAAAGTCAGAGAATATTCTTTCTCACTCACCAGACCAGAGAAAATAATAATTTGAGAGAGATAAAATGGTGAAAATGATTGTTTTGTTTATGACATTTGGTGAACCACATGGACATGTTTTGTGTGTCTCACAGCTTTGTCATCTAACTAATATCTAGTACAATTGTTTCTCCTTTCTCTCTCTTTCTCAATAGCTTTTTGGGGTAAAAAGTCAGAGAATATTCTTTCTCACTCACCAGACCAGAGAAAATAATAATTTGAGAGAGATAAAATGGTGAAAATGATTGTTTTGTTTATGACACTAAATACATGGTTCAATTATTGGAAAAAAACAATAGGAAGGACACCTACTAAAGTATTTGAGATCTCATAGAAAAATCAAATCTTTTTCTTTTTTTTTAAGAAATAATAGAAACATGATGTTGTTGAAGACAGTTGACAATTTAGTCATGGTAGAAAATATATATATATCAGCCAAGACTAGACCTGAAAATTTGAATAAGATAATGTCGAAGGCTAGTTCAAGAGGGAGATTTTCCAACTTCACTCTAACTATATTCTCAATTAAGAGATCTAAAGTTCAAATCTCCTATTTTAATTGAGGACAATCACGCTTTTCTCGTGGTATAGTCTACTGCCTATCGGTCCAAAGGTTGTTGGGATCATGCTTCCTTGTAACACCCGCTCATCGCCAACGCGATTAACAGGAGTTACTATCGACAATATTAAGAGACTCTGATACCCAATCATAAAATTAAAAATATTTCTAAAAACATCCGGTAAAATATTTTAATAAAGAAAAACAGTACTTTAAAAAAAACTTAAAACGACTAAGGTAAATTCTTGACAACGAAAGCATAATTACAAAACAGACCCAGACATGGATTCCCAGTAGTCTCTAACCCGCTGGTCTCGTCCTCGGCTGGCCAGCAGCATCTACATCTGGAAAGAAAAGTTATAATAATTCTGATGAGTAATTAGAATACTCAGTAAGTAGCTAGTTTATCATTCACAGGTTTATAACTAATCTTTCTAGGTGTTTTTACGTTTTATTCATCACTGACTCCTAGTTCTCTTACTAGGGTCATCTGTTCGTTAATGAGGTATCTCAGTTACCTCCAGCTAGGTTACTGACTCTCTCTCGATATGCTTATCTAGAATTTTCGGACTCGTATGTAAGACTCGCTCTCGGTCAAATACGGCCCGTCTACTAATTGCTCTGGCGGCCTGTTTATCTCATATACCAACGGTCAGGAGTACTCCTGCTCCCTGACTTAGCACACAGCGCGTTGGCCAGGAACTCCGCGGGAATTAGTAGACTATCATACCCATATAAATAAGCCATAGCTCAACCACCAATAAGCATATCTAGAGTCATAACCTTTCCATTAACATGCATAACATACTCACAGTTACTGCATGCTTCAATACATGTATCATGATCAACACGTAGAACATTCTGACAATCATTTATATCACGCTTACATCACAGGCAAGCAGTCACAATATACAATAAACACTAAATATCATCAAAGTTCATCATAACTTATCAAGCTCTTAATCAGGTAAACAACATACTCACATGTTGTAAAACAAGTTAAGAACGAGTTCAAAGGTCGATACGCTACTTACTTGGTTTCGAACTCCTTTTTCCCCCTTGAATGTACGTTTAATAGTATTTCAACACAATTCCTTCCTATTAGACCTATATTTTATCAATTTCAACATAAGTATAGACCAATTTTGGTAGGACAGGTCAAAAGGAGTCGAACGGGACAAACCGGGAGCAAAAATACCTTCGCACGCGCCCTCACGCGCCAACACAAGGTCAATGTTTGTTTTCTCACGCGCCTGATCCTCGCACAGTCGCACTTCCACTCGCGGCCTCCCACGCGCCTCGCGTGTCCTTCACGCGCTCGTCTTCAACCTCTC